GGACAGCATATTGCAAATGCATGGACACACAACAGACATGTAATTTTACATAGGAGGTGATATGATTTGGTTGTATTCTCACCCAAATATCATCTTGAATTATAACTCCCACAATTCCCACATGTGGGAGGAACCAGATGGGAGGTGATTGAATTATGGGGGCGGATCTTTCCTGCACTGTTCTTGTTATAATGAATGAGTCTCATAAGATCTGATGGTTTTAAAAATGGGAGTTTCCCTGCACAAGCTCTCTCTTTGCCTGCTGCCATCCACGTGAGATGTGACTTGCTCCTCCTTGCCTTCTGCTATGATTGTGAGGCCTCTCCAGCCATGTGGAGCTGTAAGTCCATTAAACTTCTTTCTTTTATATATTGTCCAGTCTGGGGTATGTCTTTATCAGTGGCATGAAAGTGGACAAATACAGAAGGTGTAATAATCTTTTAATCACTCAACACTGTAATGGACATATTTCTGTGTCAACTAGATTATCACATTTAATGGCTATTTAGAATTCCATTGCATGTTTTGACCATAATTTATATAACCAATTTCCTATTGATAGAAATTTAACTGTTGGGTGGCTCATGCCTGTAATTCCAGCACTTTAGGAGGCTGAGGCAGGCAGATCACCTAAGGTCAGAAGATTGAGGCCAACCTGGCCAACATGGTGAAACCTTGTCTCGACTAAAAATGCAAAAATTAGCCAGGTGTGGTGGCTCACATCTGGAATCCCAGCTACATGGGAGACTGAGGCAGGAGAATTGTTTGAACCTGGGAAGCGGAGGCTGCTGTGAGCCAAGATCATGCCACTGCACTCCAGCCTGGGCAACAGAGTAAGAAGTCCGTCTCATTTTTGCTCTTACAAATGAACGATTAAATCAATGTCCTTAACTTATATCACTGTTCATTTGGCTAATTATCTTAGGATAAATTCCTAGAAGTAAAACTTCTGGATTTAATAGTTACATAATTAAAATTTTGATATCATTAAACTGTCCTCCAGAAAGATTAAATCAATTTACACATTGTGATGATCTTGTTTTTATTTACATTTTTATCATACCTTGGTGCATTTGAATATTCTTTCATATGTTTAGTACCATTGTATTTCTTTTATTTATTTATTTATTTACTTATTTACTTACTTATTGAGACAGAGTCTCATTCTGCCACCCAGGCTGGAGTGCAATGGTGCAGTATAAGCTCATTGCAGCCTCCACCTCCCAGGTTCAAGCGAGTCTCCTGCCTCAGCCTCCTGAGTAGCTGGGATTATAGGCAGCTGCCACTATGCCCATCTAATTTTTGTATTTTTAGTAGAGGTGGGGTTTCATCATGTTGGCCAGGCTGGGTTTGAACTCCTGACCTCAAATGATCCACCCACTTCGGCCTCCCAAAATGCGGTGATTACAGGCATGAGCCACCATGCCTGGCCTACCATTGTATTCCTTAATAAATTACTGGTTAATACTTTTCGCCCATTTTTCTGTTGAATAAATTTGTGTAAGTTTTTCTAAGTGTAAGGACACTTTATCTCTTATATATGTTACACATAAACTTTTCCCCTAGTGTATCAGTTAAACTTCTTCACGGTCATTTGCTTGTTTGTTTTGGCTAATCATTTTTGCGTATTAAAGTTTTCAATTTACACGTAGCAATTCTATTCATTTCTTTCATCCTTCAGTATATGTAATGGTTGTCATATGGGAGAGGATTAGGCATTTATGAAGAAGACAGAATCAGCCCGATGGGAGAAAGTTGCAACATGGCAGATTTTTACTAAAATAACAAACAACTTTCTCCTAATTAAGACTGTGAGATTCGGAATGCGCTGTCTCGCTGGTAGTGAGATCTCCATAATTAGGGGCTGTTAAGCATGAATTGCATGACCACTTGACAGTGATGCTGTGTGGGGTGAGGCCAGATGGCCTCTGGCATCCTTAATTATTTACGAGGCAGGTTTTTAATGGAATGCCAATAATGTAATTCAAATTGTTTTCCCCAGAGAACTTTTTTCAAAACTGCAACACCATGCAACATTTGGGGTTTCCAAGAGCAACTGGACCAAAGTTGATGTGGCCGATCAGGCAGCACTAAATAAAAAGAGTTCAGGACCACTGCAAACCGTAAGAAAGCATAGCAGGAGATTGTTAGTGGTCATATGCTTGTCATTCATGAGTTTTACTTTAATCACCATGCATCACCTTCCAGCCACAGAAATTTCCACTAAACCGTACAGCCTCACAGGAGCCGACCTCTCATATCTGGGAATGCAGATGGATGTAGGCAAAACTGACTGCCTACCATAGGTCAATTTTGGTTGTGGCCAGGCTTTTGAGAGTAATAGAACAAGGTAGTGCCAGGTATGAGTACAGAAGCAAACTAGTATGTTGCTGGTATTGTAAAATTGGTAGACTGAGTTACATAAAGGAGAGGAAAGCTCTCACCAAGTAAGTCTTAGGATAGGATGAGGCTCCATGCCTCTTAATCCATCTGACTATATAGTCATTCTCTTTTTGACCTTGGCTTACTGCTGCTTGGTAGACAGAATTGGGGAAAATGGGGTCAAACTTAGACCTGGAAGAATGCTCTCACTTTCTATGAATAGAAAGTAATTGAATGAATAATTACATAATTGAATGAATTATTACATACATTTAATATATAATGAAACACTGCTATGTGCAAAGCGTTGAGAATTCAGCAATGAACGGGAAAGATAGCAGCCACAGCCTAGTGGGGAAGACACCTTTAAACAATGACATCATAGGTTGTAAAAGGTGCTTGAGTTGCTCACAGCCATGGCATTAAAACCTGTCCTGGATATCAGAAAAGGCCTTCTGGAAAGGCTAAAATTAAAGCAGAGATTTAAAGAAGGAGAAAGAGATACTGCCCATGAAAAGGGAGGACAGGAGAAGAGAATAAACGATGGGGCTGCGTAAGTGTTTCACGGAAAGAAAAACGTGTAAAGGTCCAAAGCCAGAGAGAAATTTAGATTCGCACTTCCCTGGAATGGTATTAGGCTATTTCTGATGCATGTGATGTGGCAGCAAGAACCAAAATTTAAAATGAGAGACCAGGAGTTTGGCTCCCCGCCTTGCTAGTTCCTGGGTATGTGACCTTGGCAAATAACATCATCTGTCTTGATCTGAAGCTTCTCATCTGTCAAATGGCAGTAATAGCCTCTGCTCCACAGGTTGCTGTGAGAATGGGATTAGCTAATAGATATAAAATTTTGGCCGGTGTGGGACTAGGTTTTGAATATCCTTAAGCCTTGTTGAAGCTGTCAGTGACCAACATCTATTCTTTTCAGCTAGTCCAATTTTTTCTTGCTGTCTGTGAATATACATCAACTAGATCAGTTCAACAGAGTTTTACTCAGTTTCTACTTTGGGTCATTGTAGATTCAGACCCTGTGAGAATATGAAAGAAGTGTGACACGGGGATTGAAATGTAGAAGTTAGTTGGGAAGAGAAGGTTAGTCTAAAGAGGTGTTTGTCTCTTACTTTGTTTTTTTTTTTTTTTTGAGACAGAGTCTTGCTCTGTTGCCCAGGCTGGAGTGCAGTGGTATGATCTTGGCTCACTGCAACCTCTGTCTCCCAGGTTCAAGTGATTCTCTGGGCTCAGCCTCCTGAGTAGCTGAGATTACAGGTGTACACCGCCACGCCTAGTGAATTTTTGTAGAGACAGGGTTTCACCATGTTGGCCAGTCTGGTCTTAAACTCCTGACCTCAGATGACTCACCTGCCTCAGTCTCCCAAATTGCTGGGATTACAGGCATGAGCCACCACGCCCAGCCTGTCTCTTACTTTGCATATATATATCTGCAACTCCATCTGGTCTATGAGCTCCCGTAGGAAAGGATCTATAAAATAGGTTCTCTCTTTAATCCCAATAAGATTTCCAAGTGTCTGATTTAGATAGGTGCTCAGCAAATCCCAATGAAATAGAGCCAGTGAAAGTCTGGAAACTTACAGCAGATTTTAAACAGTAGTAAACACATACATAAATTAGAGGGGTTATCTGAAGGAAAATCTGTAAATCAGGGAAGTTTTATGGAGGTAAGGTTGGAAGGTTCAGCTTTTGTAGATGCTGTCAAAGAACTTTCAAAGTGGTTGTACCTTTTTATTCTACCAGCAATGTATGAGAAATGAATATAGTCAGCCTTTTTAATTTTAGCAATTCTGACAGCAGAGGAGAGATATTCCGTCATGGTTTTTTAATTTTACATTTTCTTGGGGACTAATGACTTTTTTTATTTTTTTATTTTTGAGAAGGAGTTTTGCTCTTGTTGCTCAGGCAGCAGTGTGATGGCGTGATCTTGGCTCACCTCAACCTCTACCTCCCGGGTTCAAGCAATTCTCCTGCCTCAGCCTCCCGAGTAGCTGGGATTACAGGCATGTGCCACCACACCTGGCTAATTTTGTATTTTTAGTAGAGATGGGGTTTTTCCATGTTGGTCAGCCTGGTCTTGAACTCCCAACCTCAGGTGATCCACCTGCCTCAGCCTTCCAAAGTGCTGGGATTACAGGCGTGAGCCACTGGGCCCGGCTGGTGACTAATGATTTTGGGTATCGTTACATATGATTGTTAGCCATTTGAATATCCTTTTTGTAAAGTGTCTGTTCAAGTCTTTTGCTCACTTTCAAAAATTATATTGACTATTTTTATATATTATGAATGCAAGACCTTTGTTGGATTTATCGACTGTGAATCTCTTCTCCCAGTATGTGCCTTAACTATTTATCCTTCATGGTCTCTTTCTATGGAAGAAGTTCTCAATTTTCATAAAAAAACAGTATGTCAATTTTTTAAGTGTTAGTTTTTTGTGTGTACTATTAAAGAAATCCGTACCTAATTCAAGATGATAAAGATATATTCTTTTTTTTTTTTTTTAGTTTTATTTTAGGTTTGGGGGTACATGTGAGGGTTCATTCTGTAGGTAAACTCATGTCATGAGAGTTTGTTTTATAGATTACTTCATCACCCAGGAATTAAGCCCCCAAAATATGGGACACTTCACAAATTTGCATGTCATCCTTGTGAAGGGGCCATGCTAATCTCTGTATTTTTCCCATTTTAATATATGTGCAGCCGAAGCAAGCACAAGAATTTTTTAATGAAATATTTTTTCCTAAATAAAAAAGAAATGCATGCATATGGTTAAAAAATCCAAACAGTCTGAAGGATAATAAAATGACAACTAAATCTTCTAATTGTCATGACCAAGTTCTTCTCCCCAAAGGCACCCACTATTAACGCGTTTTTATACATGCTTATAGATATTTTCTATGTATATGTTTATAATATATCTATGAATATTCTTTACTCTTACTCTTTCACCAAATGTTACATATTAGTAAGGCTGTCCTGCGCATTGCCATTTTTGTTCAACAGTATCTCAGCAATCTTTCAATGGTGACTCCTTTGAAGGACTATCTTACTCCTTTTAAGCAGATAATTGTGTTGTATTAAAGCTTTGTAATTTAAAGCTACTGACCCCTCCTAAAGGGATCAGCTAGATTGTGTTTAGTCTTTCCTTTCACAAACAGTGCTGCAGTAAACATCCTTGTGCATAGGACTTTGTGTGAGCAATGAAATGGCTTGTTCCAAGGGTATGGGTGTTTATAATTCTGCTAACTCGGGCCAAATTATCAAAAAGGTTATATTGGCTTATACATACTCCAGCAGGATATGAGGGTGCCTTTCCTTTCTCTCTGGAGTAACTGGGATTACAGGCATGTACCACCACGCTTGGCTAATTTTGTAATTTTAGTAGAGACAGGGTTTCTCCCGTTGGCCGGGCTAGTCTTGAACTCCTGACCTCAGATGATCCACCCACCTTGGCCTCCCAAAATGCTGAGATTACCACCTGGCAGGATTTAAATAAGAAGAGCAACGAAGAGAACACTTTTTATAGAAGGGACAGCATAAGCAAAGGCTTCGAGTGGTTTTCCAACCCACTGTTTAGTGTTTTAGCCGAATAATTCTTTGTTGTAAGGACTGTCCTGGGCATTATAGGATGTTTAGTGGCATCCCTGGCCTCCATCTATTAATGCCAGCACAACCTTCTCTCTCCGCCCGTTAGGTGTGACAACCTAAAATGTCTCCAGAAACTGCCAAATGTTTTGTAGGGGACAAAATTGCGCTGGGTTGAGGTTGGGATGTTCAGGGGTCAGGCTGTGGGGGGATGTGTGTGTGTGTGTGTGTGTGTGTGTGTGTATGTACGTGTGTGTGTGTGTGTGTGTACAAGTGCACAGTGAGCACAGGGTAAAACTAGGAAGGCTGATGTGGAGTTCACCCTAGAAAGCTTCAGAGTTAGTCTGAGGAGAGATGTATTTCTTCTCTTGCTTTTTTCTCCTTTCATAAAAACCCACATTATAGAAACCCATATCTTTTTTTTTTTTTTTTTTTTTTTGGTGAGGAAAGCCACACACTAACCCTTCAGCCTCTTCGATATGAGTGAGCAACCCAGGGCTGGTGCTTTAAGCACATACAGGTTGTGCATGATCTAATATCATTTTAATCTCACAACAACACATGGGGGTCCTGATCAGCACTTGAAGGGCTGGGCTACAGATGGGGAAATAGAAGCTCGGGGAGAGAAGTTGAAGCCATTGTCCTTTCCTGCCCTCAGGTGGCTGTACTCTCCACAGCTGTACTCTAAGAGGCTTGACAGCCGGCCTTGCTGCTGCCATTACTGAAAGCCCAGTATGGAGCCATTTGGATGATTTTAGTCATTCTTTCCACTATTTGAGAACCTCAGAATAGGCTTTAAGTCATTGTTCTTTCTCTCCTCATGATTTGGTTTATTTTTGGAAGTGAAATCAATGGATTGTCTTTTGCTTTCTTTCAGAAACCTCTTTGCTGCATTTCTCACCACACCCAGGAGTAGGCACGTGGTTAGATGCTCATGGAATGTATGACAGCCCCTCTCTGGCTTAGTTTCCTGCTGGGCCAGATGATAGCCATTCTCCTGTACTGTGCAGGTCTCAGTGTGTTATTATTAAGTTCACTGCTTGGCAGAGATAATGTGTTAACTCATAGTAATAAATAACTATGAATATGTGACTTCAGCTTCTAATAAAGTATCTACAGCATAGTAGGGGCTCAGTAAATGTTGGTTGAATGATGAAGCATATAATCACATGGTTACCTGGGAGCAGTACCACCCAGGCAAGTGGAGCACCTGCCTGAGGTCCTGGGCCTCAGGGGTCTTGCATCTTATTTATTTACTTATTTATTTATTTTTTGAGACAGAATCTTGCTCTGTTGCCCAGGCTGGAGTGCAGTGGCATGATCTTGGCTCACTGCAACGTCTACTCCCGGGTTCAAAGGATTCTCATGCCTTAGCCTCCCATACAGCTGGGATTACAGGTGTGCGCTGCCATGCCTGGCTAATTTTTGTCTTTTTAGTGGATACAGGGTTTCATCATGTTGGCCAGGCTGGTCTTGAAGGGGTCTTGTACTTTAGAATGCTGCCCTCCACATCTTCTAAGCCCTTCCAGTGGTCAGGACTGGCCAAGGCCAGTAGTGCCAACCAGAAGGATACTCGAAACCCAGCCTCCACCATGTCAGCCCCAGTCCCTGTTTTCTTTCCTTTGGCATGCTCTTCAATTCGCTTCTTAGTACAGGGTGTCGACCAGATGCCCTAGGAGACCTCTAAGGCTTACATCTATGAGATTGTCTCAGGGATCCCCTACCAGGCCCAATTCCAAAAGGGCTACCGGGAGAAAGGATCTTTTCTTCCAGTCAGTGAGTATTTTGCAGTATCACATGAAGTCGGGTAGTCAGAATGGTGCTTAAACATTGACTTTAGGTGACTCAAATTGTTTATATATACAGGGGCCCCAAAAAAAGCATTTGCATAGGCCTCCACATGCCTTAGGGCTGACCACATCTAATAGATCCATCATTCATTCAATTCAGGCAGTCATTCAATGGAATTCATGCCTTCAACTGATCCCTCAATTAACTAATGCAGGCCCTATCATAAGTGCTATGCTATTATTATTAGCAGAGTGAACACATGCACGGGACCCCAGGCAAAGAAGCGAGAACCCAGGCAGTGTGTGAGTTGGTTAGCAATATGCAGTAGGTCAGTACCACAGAGGACGGAACATCGGAACTTAGGTCTTGAAGAATGGCAGGAATTTTTCCAGGAGGGACATGCCATGTTTAGGGAAGAGAAAATAATTCTATGGGTCTAAAGGTTACAGTGAGGGCTGGGAAGAGATGAAACACCAGCTGGAAAGACAGATGTGGCCACAACATGAAGGATCTGTTGTCAGGCTGAGGTTTCTGCATATCTTTTCTAAAGACATTGAAGAGCAATTAAGTGCTTTTTAGCCAGGAGGGTGTTGGTTAGATATGTAGATTAGAAAGTTCATCCCCATTGGCTATGGGCGTGTAGATATTGGATTGGAGGAAAGCAAGACAGGAGTCAAGGTGACTCCTCTGGAAGGTCCAGCGATGTACAAGGCAACCAGAGCCTGGTGGAAAGTGGTAACCCCAAGAAGGGAGGGGCTGGGAAGTCACAGATAGTCAGTTCCCAAACTCCGAAAGACTCTGAGAAGCAGAGTCAGTATCTCCCCTCCCCAAGGTTGGCTTCTTTTGTAATCTAGGTGCCTGGCTGAGCACTTTCTCTTTTCTTTCCTTCCTAATCACTTTCCCCTTCTCTCCTGATCTGATGACAGGGGACCAGCTGTTGACACAAGACTCTCTTCTGGATGGAGAGGAAGCTGAAATCAACAGCATCCTAGGCAGTTCACCCTCAGGAAGACCTTCCCAGAAAAGCCTGCAGAGTCTAGATGGAGGCAGAGATCATGTATTCAGTCTGCATGGAAAAGCTTCTAGATTTATCCCAAGGGGCTCTGCTGAGCAGCTCAGAGGCCTTCAGAGTGGCCTCAGACAGGTGGCCCCAGATTCTCTGAGAATGAAGGAGAGGGGCCTGCAGTTTCTATTTCATGACATACACCCACTGCGCTGCTCGAGAACCCCGCCCTGCAGGATTTGTCTTCCCCCCGGGGTGTATGGATCCCCATCAGGACTGGTTGCATCTCTGGAAATGACCTCAGGCTTTGGAATATTTGTTCTTTTAGGCTTTTCAAACAATGTCCTCGTTTTGCCAGAGGAAAAGGGAAAGAGACTCTCTAAACGAGCAGGCCCTCCTTTGTTCTAGACCCATAAATCTGGCCAAGCACATGTCCGGCCTTCCCGCCCCCCACTGCATCATTGTCCTGTTGCTGATTAATAGGTCAGAGCTAACTTTAAACTGGCATTTCCTGACCAGCCCATCTCCCTGCCTTCGACCCTGCCTGGCTGTTCTTTAAAAGCCTGCTGTATTTTAGAACATGGTGTCACTGTCCCGCAGCCTCCGCCTCACACTGTGTTCCAAGGTGACTGACTGCATTAAGTTTGGTCAAGCCGTCTGTGCTGTTCTGCTGTTTATGAGTTGGCAAAGTAAGGGCTGAGGCGGAGGGGTGGGCGCACGGCTGGGTGGGAGGCTGTTGCTCAGGGTGTTTGAGCCACTGCTGGCCCATCTGGTCTTGGAACCACATACCTCCGAAGGGCTGCATGGAGAGAGGGTGTGACAATAAGTATGACAAGGTGTTTTATTTTGCCTCTGTTTTTTTTCATGTCCTGCAAGTGACTGAATGGCGTCTCAACCATGCAAAATAATGTAGAAGAGTGGGTTCCAACATGCGGATGTTCTTGATGTTGGCTGATTAAGGCAGTATACAAAAGTTGAGTGTCTGTTATCTAGCCAGATAGTTTTTTTTTTTGAGATGGAGTCTTGCTCTGTCACCCAAGCTGGAGTGCAGTGGCACAATCTTGGCTCACTGCCACCTCCACCTCCTGGGTTCAAGCGATTCTCCTTCCTCAGCCTCCTGAGTAGCTGGGATTAGGGGTACATACCACCATGCCCGGCTAATATTTTTGCATTTTTAGTAGAGACAGGGTTTCACCATGTTGGCCAGGCTTATCTTGAACGCCTGATTTTGTGATGTCCTTGATGTTGACTGAGCGAGGGAAGATACAAAAGAGTATTTATAGCATAGTCCTATTTGAGTGCAGTCAGCCCTCTGCATCTGTAGGTTCTGCTCTGCATTCATGGATTCAGCCAATCACAGATCAAAAATATTTTTAAATAGGCCAGGTGCAGTGGCTCATGCCTGTAATCCCAGAACTTTGGGAGGCTGAGGTGGGCAGATCACTTGAGTCTAGGAGTTCAAGACCAGCCTGGCCAACCCCGTCTCTACTAAAAATGCAAAAATTACCTGGGCTACCGGGCACCTCGGCCTCCCAAAGTGCTGGGATTACAGGTATGAGCCGCTGCGCCCGGCTGCCAGATAGTTTTTTTTTTTTTTTT